ATTAGAACGCATTTGGCGTATGTTTCTTCAAGCTTGCTGATTGGTGGAGGAAAGGTCAGCACGTAGGTCAGAAGTGCTTTAGTACCCAAACTGTCACTGGTACCCGTCCTGAGGGCGGGGCTACTAACTGTAATATGGTCTCTACTAGGCAGAGTGTAGTTTAACTAGACTCTGCACGCAGGGTAGCAATATTTGGGCCAAAATTGTCAAATGTGAACCCCCCTGGAAATTTTTGAAAAATGAACCCCCCCCCCTTGGCAAATCCTGGCTACGGGCCTGTAATTATGTTATATATTCGTATTTTTCGTTTTTTGTGTACCCGCTTTTTTCCCGGGTACCAATACAAGTTTGAACCCAGCATGGAGGATTTACTACCCAGTACCCGGTTTTTTCTACAAACCCTTATGTCTTATTATATCTTGTCTTCCCATTTATTCTTTGAGCCTACTACCAATAGGGGCTTGATGATCTGGCTCCAGATCTGTGGTCGGTACAATGAGGTGATCCCCCAAGGCCAAGTTGACAGGCCTGAGGCCTTAGGGCAAAGGGGTGTAATGTCAACATGTGGGGTAATGTCGACATAATAAACGGGTTAACTTCGACACTTACGTATTAGAAGTAGAATTTCCATTTTCCGCCATGTTTGATTTCTGGAAAAATTAAAATCTCGCGAGATCTCGATCCATGCGAGAAAAAAAACATGGCTTCCCCCTAGATCGGAAATTAGGCCAAACAAAAATATATGTCTGTTTCCTGCTCCATGTATTTTCAGATTAGGGTAGGTAGGTAGGAGGATTATTTTATTTTTCATTAAAATTTTACTCAATTTTTTTTAGGGTAGGTCAGTCAGAAAAATATTTTATCTTATGTTTTTTGTCATCTCTTCGTTTTGTCATTTGCTCTTAACTGCCATGAGACCTTAATTCATCATGTAGTCTATAATCATTTGATCCATACTTACTTAAAACCTTCAGATATTGAACTAAATAAACAACTTGGTCAGGGTTCGAACTTAACTTTCTCACCTGGTATTGAAAATTGTTACATGAGATTTTTTCTAGGTAACTAAATACCAAAGTAAGGTAGTTGTTATTATCGCTTGAAATTGTTATTATTGCGATAAAACAAAGTTTTCCTTGACACTAGGCCTATATAATAATAATACACAAGTCTATTGATCTGTTATTATCAATTTTATTCCATCATTACATTCGAAACTTCTGGATAAAGGCCTTCATGGACATCAAATAAGACCATGGGCATTCAAGTTGAATGCCCATGATAAGACAAGTATCAGTATATTTAGCACTGGATCAGCAGAGGTTACAAAGTTGTCATCATATTAATATATGCCTCAAAAATATAATTTTTCTGACTCAAAAATAAACAGAATCAGCTTTAGAAGACATTATACCTTTATACCTTTATACCAATAGTTCTGGAAGAAGGATGTTTCCTATATGATCCAGATCTTTTTGTGTTGTTGTGTCTTACTAATTAATTGGAGGGGGGGGGGTAGTTGTTATAATGCTCACTGGACATGGGTTTAGTGAAGCAGCTATGGTAGTGGTACATCTGGCTTGCTAGATGTCTGTCTATTTCATTCTTGAACTGGTTGATACTTTCCACATCAATGGCAGACTGGGGTAGACTGTTCCAGGTATTCACAATTCTGTTGCCAAGGACATTTTTTCTCACGTCAAGTCTGCTGTATCTATGATTTAGTTATTCTGTGTTTCCTCTTGTCCTGGTATTATCTGATTTCTGGGCGATGTCACTGATTTGTATTCGGTCGTAACCTTTTAGAACCTTGAAGATTTGGATTAGATCACCCCTTATTCTTCTATACAGTAAAGAGGGGAGTTTTAGTTGTCTCATTCTTTCTTCATAGCTTAGATCTTTCAATGGTGGTACTAGTTTTGTTGCTCTTCTTTGTACTCTTTCAATTTTGTCAATATCCATATAGGTGTGGGGGTTCCAGACACTGTTTCCATATTCAAGGTGAGGCCGGACCATGGATTTATATAGGAGTGGTAAGGTGGTTCTATCAAGATGAGAGAAAGTTCTTTTTATTATCCCAAGAATACTGTTGGCTTTGGATACTTGTTTATTAGAAGAATATTTTTAATTCAAACAATTCAGAGAAAACTTGTCTCTGTGAGAACATAACATTTTCATCTGGTACATTGGAATTCCCTCTCCCAGAGTATCATTGATAGTTTCCCACTTCAAAATCCTCCTGGACAAGGCATGGTACTCAGATCTTTACAAATAGCCACTAGTGAGCAATAATCAGTTCCCTACCCTAAATTCAGTTTTAATTTTTAATACATCAGATGGGAGAACATTACAGGATATAAAGCCTCCACCCCTCCTAAACTTGATGATGATGATAAGTCATGTGATCAGATCATACTATAATAGACCAATCATGTGGTATAAACATTCAAATTCAAGTTTCCCACTATAAACATTCCTAAGTGAAAGGTCAGGCTGACAAATGTATGCAAATAGCTGTTGTGTTTTCGAGTTTCCCTCCCCAAGATTTTATTTTTCTTATTTCAAATCTGCATGGTAAAATGGGAATTGCAAATTTTATTGAAGGGGGTGAAACCCGAAACCTTAGATGTCTCCCTAGCAATTGCTAGACCCCTCTGGGAGTTGATTGCGGGCCTCTATTTTGAAGAGCAAAAATGGCGAACTTTTCAAGAAAATAAACAATATTTCCTGTGTTTCAAGTGTTTTGGGGGCCCTAACGATAATATTACAGCAAATGTTCCAGGGTATGAGAAATATGGACACCTGGGCCTGATGTGAGTAAAACATTTCAGAAGGAAATGTATTGTTTCAATTGAGTAGGGGCAGAGATAGAATATTTTATTTTTCAGTGTACTAAAAAATGTCTTAGGGTCGGGGGTTCAAACTAGGGTCGGTCGGGGTTCCGGAAACGGACATATATTTTTGTTTGGCCTTAGAGCAAATAAACAACAAGGTGTCGAAGTTACCCCACATGTCGAAGTTACCCCAAAATGGTGTCGACGTTACACCCCTTCGCCCTAGTCACCGAAAAGGTCCACTGTCTCATACAGTAGATCCCGGTGTGAAAAAAATGATGGTCCCCCAGGAATTATGGTCTTTCATCTCATATTCTCAAAGTAAGTTGAAGTTATCATATTTGAAATCGTCAGTAGTTTTCCAGAGTACCCGTGCGGTGATAGGACCATTTCCCCTACTACAAAAGTAACGATCTGGCCAACTGCACTGTCTCAGTGTGTGACCAACTTTTCATTTTTTAGGATTTCGGGCAGCATGGCAGATGGGATAAGACAAATAGATGTAAAATCAGTGGGATTTACTTACCATATACTTCGGTAATTCCAAAGGCATTTTATTCTTCAAGGAAGCAAACTGAATACAGGGAGGTTGCGGTACGCTGGCAGACTGGTAGTAGCAGACTGGAAGAAATCTGAAGTTTTGGAAACCAAAATACGCACCTTCTGCAATCTCGTTTTCGTATTAAGTGACGTCATCATTGTCCAGTGCAAATGTCACAGGTCTCCCCACTGTCAGGTACCCCTCTAAGTTTGACGTGACACAGATTCGGCTATAATTCAGGTATTTTTGGTATGATTCTTGAACAATACATTATTCCCAGGGAATGGCCCGGGTGTATATGGATTGTATAATCTATGTAATAAGTGTACTCATAAATGCACCTTCCCCTAATTTAACCATGGCCTTTCAATTGACCATTTTTTACTATAATAGAGATGGATTTATAGATGGCAGTGTGAGAGTTGGTAGAGCTAGAATACCATTACAAGTATACAGAGAAATAACTAGCAGAAAATCACTTAAGGTCAGATTGCATGTTCGGAATTTTGCTTTAACCCTCAATAGGGTCACATGATGTTATTTTTAAAGTTTAAATCATTCCTTCCTCACAATGTCTACATCTCTCACGTTTGCACAACGAGTGCACTAATATACCTAGTAAAAAGAATGTAGAGAAGAATGGTTTGATAAAATGTATAAAAACAAGAAAATTCAGTGGTTTTTATACATTTTCAAAACAAATCTCCACACAAGGCACATAATTGCACTTTTTGTGCAAAACTGGAAGATGTAGACAATGTGGGGAAGGAGTGATTCTCAATTGAAAAATAACATGTGACTCAATTGAGGAATGCACCCTGGCCTTAAATTTTTGATTTTTCAAATATTTCCATTTGGATTCATGTGAAACTCCATTAGCATGTAACTACTGTATGTGGACATATGGATGATTTACCATTAAAATTGTGACCCTCCAAAGAGTAAATTAATATTTAAAGGTTTTTCAACAGTGTGTCAATGGGGATGATGCCCAACCTAATTTTCAGAAAACTTGATAATCCTGGAAATTCTAATAAAGGTAAATAACTGCAAAACAAAGCTGTCTTAGGATAAAATTATATATAGAATTCAAATATGACATCAAAAATAGTGGTCTCTAATGGTTAAAAATGCAGATTTTTTTCAAATATAGTCTCTGACATCCTATAATGCAATTGGCAACATTGAAATTCAAAGTTTTGAAATAATATTTTTCTTTTTTGTTTTATTATGCAGAGGCACCATTTCTCAATATTTGAAACAGTGGGTATGAGTGTACATGTAAAAATTGAGATTTTATGTCCTAAACTCACCCACTCAAAAACTTTCTAATGGTACATTAAGATACACCCTTGATAAACAACATTATTTCAAATGTTGTTTATCAATGTTCAAATGTCAAAACTTTATGAGTTCACATCTTTTCACTTCTTCTTAGTAAGGTATTAAGATACTGGTTCTGGACAAATATGTACATGCACAATGTTTACCAATAACATTGAACAAATATGTCATTAAATTGTTTAAACACCTATATATTTACATAATTAAAGCTGTCTACATGATATCATTTCTCTGAAAAAATCATTCCCAAGACGTTGGTCCCATAATGTGTTATATATACGTTTATCCCGTGTAGAAACTATAAACTATCTGCTATATATGTAATTGCTATTATCACAATGCTTGCATAGATTGAGTCCTTATTAATCCATGTATCTGTGTATAATAGTTATCTAAAGTGAGCTGTCAGATGCTGGGAGAGCTATTAGTACCTGTGTACCTTCATAAATCTCTCCTGCTTTTAGAGTAAAAGGTTCAGATACATATCCAGCCTCAACACAAAGCATTTTTAAATATTCATCATCACCAAAATCTGTCATTGCTTTAGCTTTCTCTATCCAAGGATTCCAAACAACTGCAAGATATAAGCATTAAAGATATCAAAACAATGACGAAAAATACATGTAGGCGATGATGGCATTTTTATGCTTGCTAGTAGCATAAAAGTGTGAAATATTTCCCAATAACAATATCATATATGTATGTCTACATCCATACCTGTATCTGGCATATTGTGTTTCTGCAAACTGATGCAATATCCTCCATTAACAGCTGTCACCAAATGCTCCCAGTATGCTGGCGTCTTTTCATAAACTCTATGATAAAAAGGAACTGTGATGTATTTAAACCTGATAATATTAAATTGCTTAAAAACAGATGGTAGAATTATGACATGTGTTGATGTAGGATGTGGAGCTTCAAACTGGGCCTCTAGGAAGACCAGTTTTTGTACTGATAGAGCTACCCAGAATAAATATAGTTTTCAAATCAAATCAAATCAAACAATTCATTTTAAGCTCTGTGAATTTGATTTATGATTAGTTTCCAAGTTCAGTGCATACTATATTATAGAGACGATTGTCTCCAGAGCATGATGTCTCTTCATCATGGGAAACAATCTGTACTCATTGAGTAATCAAACATACATGTACACTGAGACTAACATACCCCAAGAGTACCAAATTGAAAGGTCATTTAAGATACCTGTCGACATTTTCTGATATTGTGACTTGTTCTTTAGCTTCACTAAACCTCTCGCCAGAAGCAACCTACAAAGTCGAGTAACATACTGGCAATGACATTAGAAAAACGAAGATGGTTCATATAGCAGCATTGGACGTAGCTGGGAAACAAAAAGTATAGACTATTCCAAACACAATATGTCAACTCATAGAACTGATATGGTTTACATTGAAGAGGAATTATTGGTTTAGTGTTAATTGGCATTTGTTACTTGTTTAATTAAGATTTCTACCATGTATCAGTATATGTGTAACTCGGAGACTACTGATAAATGAGAGCTATGATACTTAATAACAAAGTAACAGCATTACATTACCTTATCTACGTATGTGAGTTCCTGGAGTCCTGAAATCTTACATTTTCTTACGTCAGGAACACCAAAGTATGTGTGGAGTAGACACGTGAAAGAAAATGACTTGTCATCTATAAAGTAAGATTTAATAAACTAAGAACAATAAACTATTAAACTAAGTGAATAAGTCAATAATCACCATTATAGAGCAAACTGTAAATGTTAAGATCAGGTCTCATTCATACATGCCCAGATTTGTTACAATTAATGATCAAATTTACAAATCAAAAGAAAATTGTATCATACCACAGTTTATAACTTTAAAATCCATGTGGAAACTGTTCTCCTTCAGGGTGAGCAAGTATTTCAATTGAAATCTAAAAAACAGAGTCAACATAACACTAAATGGACACCAACAATATGTTCTTCTTTAAATGGCATTTAGTTTTATGACTAAATAAAGAATTGATTAAATAAAATTCTATACTTAAAATTCCATTGTTTCCTTGTCTGTTCATTGTCTTCAAGAGACAAGACTGCCCATACATCTCCATTTGGTAACTGAAAATAATGCATGCATTTTCTCAGACTTATTTAAATTACATTAGGTAATAATATACTGTATGTACTTGAGATAAAAATAATTTTCTTCAGAAATCAAAAACATGGCTTGCTCGTTTTACTTCAAATCGTGCTCCAAGCAAGTTCATTGCCAAACACCTTATTCTATTTGAAAAGCAAAAATTAATTTTGTAAATCATGCATTGATAATCAGACCTTGGATATTCTACTTTCTGCTTAATGGAAGTTCTCGTTGTATGCATGCTTTAAATATAGCACAACTTAACGCAAATATTACTTTTGAAGGTTGTTCCTCTATGGTCCATGTGCTAGTCCTTGCAAATCCATGTTGTGGACCCAGATCCCAGGGGCCAAAATTTGCTATAATGCAAAATTATTACAACATTCAATATCTGAATATGCATGTACATGTATTATTATTATCACTCACAGTGCAATCTACAGTAGGTTTAGTTTTTCATCTGATTTAAGATAACAAGCTGAAGTGATTGTTTTTCATATTATCTGGGTCCCTTTTGTCTAAAGGTGGGAGACTGATTCATCCACAAGAACAAGAGTGTTCCTAGCCACTGCATTCTCTAAATAAATACCTACCTAATGTAAGTATTAAAGGAATAAATTAATGAATACATGTTTATTTGTTATACTCCTTTGTTACCTACTTTTCATTAAAAGAAACCTCTTCAATTAGTCTATATATCTATCAGTTTCATAAATGTCAAAAGGAAGATCCCCTCCCCCAGATCAGTTGCCTCGCCACCTATATTTTCTGGAAAAGCCAAACTGCTTTTTAAAGAGGGTTTGATGCCGTAGAGTTTAAAATATTCCCTTTTCGTTGCTTTTCATATTTCAATAATATACAGCATTGTACCATATCAAAGTCAACACTTGAAATAGTTGGTAGAGTCATGAGTTTGTTTTTCCTTGTCACACCCATTAGGCTTTGTTAACACAACATCAAGTGTGTATTCTTATGTAACATTGTTGTGGATTCCAGCTATTGAATTAATGGTTGAGAAAAATGGATCAAAACCAGCTATGGCTTTCTCCTGTTGACCATTGTGATACAGTATATTGTGTTTATGGATTTTGGCATTAGCTTTGAGGATGTTTTGTTGACTCTTTGATGCTTATAGACTTGGAGACTGCATTTTTTCTGTCCCACATCATTTTCTGACTAATACTCTATCTTGTATGAATATCATCTATAACAGTTTTTGATGTAATGGGTATTGGTTATCAATTTAACTTTATCCTCCTTCAACAGGTATTGTAATGACTTCAGTATGAATGAAATGTCCCTTGGTGTTGTTGTCTCTGTCAGTGATAATGGCATTTGAATGGTAGGGGAGGGGTTAATAGACATTGTTACATTTCATATTAGTTTGGGATAGTTGGGGTTTGTTTTTACCATTATCTCCCACATTGCTCTTTTCATGAGATTGAAGAAGCTTTGAGCCAACAATGAGTTGAAGCATATTAGAAGTATTAAACTAATAAAACTTACGAAATACCACAGGTATTCCACCTCTAATGGCCTTTTTGTTATCATAAACTGCTTTCTCACTGCAAATGATAAAATGTGTCAAATATGTAAATAGTACATACCTGTATTCTCTATGCATCTATGAAATAAAATGTGAGTCTATGGTTTACTGTAGTTTGGAATGTATATCATGTAAGTACTGAAGTAGTTGTAGTTCTTTTCATTAAATGTTACTTTGTAGTCATAATTTTTGATCTGCATCATAATCAGGCGACTAAAGACATTCACAAAAAACACAAAATGCTTATGTTTTGAAATCTATAATCTGTAAAATATGCATAGTAATTTACTGTGACTTTTCAGGCCTAGTAAATTGCTGTGGTTACCTAACGAAGAGAAGCTCGGTCCCTAAGTACAACCAGGACACAACAGTTGCTCCTGTAAAATATATGAATAAAATGACATTTTCTTCTTTGTGACATTTATTCAATCGTACCTGTGAGCATACACGTACAAATGTTTGAGTAACATGTACATTAGATGTACATGTTCTTGAGCATTCCAAAACCAAATGTTGAACAAAATATTTAGAAACACTTGCAAACTATTCTTGTACTATGCTTACAAATGTGAAACGAATTAACTACCATTCCAAGTTAGACTAGGATATTAATCAAAGTTTACAGTAAATTACAAATTGATGAGACCAGGAAAGATGGGGAAATGATTAGCTCTACGTTGTCAAACCTGTGGCATAAAATATTGCAGATCAAGCATGAATATCTAATTACCCAAGCCATCAATTCGAACAGAAAGCATATCAAAATATGAATGCATATCGTTACTATAAATGGGTATACTGTACCATGTAAATTGACCCTAACATTGGTATCATTTCCGCGATCAAGAACGATTTCTTGCTGTGTTGATGTCATTTTGGGTCAAGGTCAGGTCATTTTTGTGGTAGCTAATTTAGCTTACTTTAGCATTATAAAAATTCAAATATACAATTTTCACATGTTTAATCATATATACTACGAAATGCTGCATAAGTAGGTTTCAATTTTATTTTTTCGCTCAAAATTATAATTTTCATTCAGTTCAGGTTTGAAATTTTGCCATGCTAGAATCTAGTCTACTTCCGGTAAATATGACTTGCCGAAATATTTTTCGACAAAACGTAAATATTATTAATAGATATTGGACAACAAAGAACTGCATAAGAACAAATCAACTTAAGAATAATGTATTTCATCTAGGTCTACCAGCTGTATCGACAAGTAAGTATCAATGTTTGCACAATTTCGCAATTCTTTACAAAAAGAAACCAAAATAATGACACATTTGTGAAGTGAGGATTTCCCATTAAATACAGTTGGGGACATAAATAAATGACAGGTGGATTTGCTGAAGTGAGGATTTCCCATGTTAAAAATAAGAGAATTTACAAGAGGCCATACATCAGTGGATGAGATTATACAAAATGTAAAATATACAAATTTTAAGGGATATATATCTAGACAATATTTGAAATTATGGGCTTTCAGACCACCATAATTAGGAAATGGTGATCGAAAATCGACCTGTCATTTATTTTTGTCCCCAACTGTAAGAGAATTTTCAAGTGGTCATACATCAGTGGATGACAGTATACAAAATGTAAAATATATAAATTTTAAAGGATATGTTTCTAGACAATATTTGAGACTATAGGGCTTTCAAAACACCATGGTTTGGTTATGGTGATAGAAAATCCACCTGTCATTTGTTTCAGCCTAAAGTGGTGAACATTTATCCCGTGCCAGGACTATAGTCCTGCATTGAGTGCAAATTTTTGCCTGTACGATTACAACTTGGGAGAATTATCTACGCCCCTTACACAACGGATTCCTCATTTGACTGACCGGGAAGTGGCCCGGAAGCACCAATAAATGGAGGAATTTGACAGTAGAAATAAGTTAAAGGTGCAATAATTAGTGCAGAGGGGTCATTCAACGATCATGGACCAGTGTCAAAATATATTTAAGGTTGGATATCTCATCAAGACTAACATCTATTTTTATTTTCTACAAAGAAACCCCCTAGATAAAGATTATTTTAGCTGATATTCCTCTTGAAACATGGTGGATCTTAAAAATATAAAAGTGGAAGTCCCCTTTTTCAAGCTTTGAACTGAATTTACACTTCTTAATGCTGAAATTGATAATTTATCCATACATTTTAAGAAAATAGGTATGTCAAAGAAGATGTTAAACCAAATGTTGCCTTGATAGCTCAGAAAAAATGAAAAAACTTTCCTATTTTCTCTACAGTCCTTATTGCCCCTTTAAATATCCAGAGCTGTCAAGTGTCCCGCGAATGGCGGGATTATCCCGCGAATTTGATCAAAATTAGGCTAATTCGCGTATCCCGCATTGTCCCGCGAAGTCCCGCAAAATGTGGCTTTGACCTCCGCGAATTTCCGAAATTGTTGCAATCCCCTATATTTTGATTATCTTATATAAGAAGCTAAGTTTTTGCACTTTTGAGGAGTAAAGTTTACCTAATTTTAAGTACCTAGCATGCTGTTGTTTGGTATCAAAATAAAGGGGAAGGGTTCAACTTTCATTTTAATTACGAAAATAGGGATGTAGGTCACAAATAGTTCCAACGTTGGCCTTTTTACTACCCGTGTGGCCTTCATCTCAGAACTGAGCAAATGTTAGCAAACGCAAGTTACAATAAATGTACGCTGATATCTAGAAAGGGTTTGTATAAAAATTCAATTGAAAGCCCATGCCTACAGTATATGAATAGGTACATTTTAATATATAACATTATGGGGGTAAGCGTTTCATAGTTGGTCACGACGCCAGAAGTGCAAAGTATTGTTCCGCATTTTTGAATTTCGTGTTAGATTACGGTAATCACACCTGAAGCATGGTTTTTGTTTTTGATAAATTACAATAAAGTTTAATTATATTCCTATGCGTATTTTGTGAAATTGTGTTGACGTTTATTTAAGTTACAATGTAACGGTGCATTATATTTGATTAATCAGTATCTGAAAGTTTGATTTAAGTACTTCTACACGCTTTTACATTAGTCCCAATCACGCAAATCCCTTGAATGTCCCGTGAAATCCCGCAAATTTAGGGCACTTTGTCTAAAAAATCTGTCCCTCTATGAAGTTTTTGGTGGTACACCTGTTAACTGTCCCGCAATTAGGGTGTTTGTCCCTCGAATGGTCCCGCGAAATCCCGCGAATTTGATAAAAAAAATCTCCTATTAGCGCAATCACGCAAATCCCTTAAATGTCCCGTAAAATCCTGCGAATTTAGTAGATATCCCGCAAAATCCCGCGAATTTTGGGCACTGGGTCTAAAAAATCTGTCCCGCGAGAAAATCTTTAGGGGTTGACAGTACTGAATATCTGAAATATTACACGCAAATATTGTGATTAAAAACGAAAATTTCTTTGTTCTGCCAATAAACCCAGACAATTGTGGATTCAACTACACGAAAAGAATGCTAAGATACCAAGGAATCTATTGAAATAGGTATCTTAAGTGTAATAAGTGTAGAAAATTCTCCCATGTTGTAATCGTACAGGCAAAAGAAAATAAATCATGAAATATCTCATCAAGGAGCCCAGCCAGTTCCATTTTAATTCATGATTTATTTTACTCGAGTCTCTAGCTTACAGCTAGATGTAACTTCATTCATTTCGTATGTACTCGTATTTCGTATGTAAAAATTGCTACATGCACCTAGAAATCATTTTTAATAAATTTTATAAATATTTTAAAGAATATTAATTATATTTAGGATGAAGCATTGCTTGTCTGGATTTAGATATTTCAAAATTTCTTTTCGGAGTTTGACACATGGTGAAATTTTCTCACTGTAGCTAAAAATGGCTTCCGGTTCCGAATGGAGGAAACTTTGAAATTATTCTCGCTTAAAGAAATCAAATATAACAATTGATTCAGACAGAGATGTGTGCTGATGTTTCTCAAATCTATACATAGAGGTATATTTCATATCATAGCCGTAGCCAGCGGGGGTTCGGTGGGTTCGAACGAACCCCCGGTCAGGATTTCCCAAAATATTATTTTGCGGAAAAATGCATATAACCAGAACCATTAAATTACTGTGCTATTTGAAAACTACATATATGTGCAGTAAATGAGCATTATTTTCTTAAAAACATGTCATAGTGAAGTTACGCTTCCCTCAAAACGTTTGGCATGCTTCATCTCGGACAAAATAACCCATCTTGGGCAATGGCTAAATCAGTCCTTTGTAGGAATTTTGTTTTAAAGGCGGAATCAGATCTATAGGGGGTGACAAAATTACAAGCAACGTGCATAATTGACCTACCAATCTATTCCTTACAATATCAAATACAATATCTCCCAAAAGATTCACAATATGTTATAAATTGGTGAAGTTATTAATGATTCAAAGTGCAAAAAATGTTTAAATTCTCCCAAATAATAAGAATGGTAACCATTCTTATAGAAAAATAATACATTATTGTAAAAATCTTTTGTTTTCCTTGAATAAAGTATGCACTTTTGTGATTTTTATAAAATAGACATGACAAGGAATGACATGAGCCAAAAATATTCTAAAATTGAAACAATTTTGTGTTTAGCCTGCTCGCTATCTCTGATTCTCTCTTTAATCCAGTTCTGGTCCAATACGAAGTTATTGAAAGTTATTGAAAACAATGCAGACGTCCCACACTCCGAATGATTTTTACAACATTGGCGAATAAATATCTGGAATAGTCGTAATATTGATGAAACACATGTTCTTTCAAATGTGTACATCTCTGTTTTGTTTTATTTTGATTAAAATTTAAAATGTTTCTTGGGGCGTCCCTGAAACCAATTAATAATTAAAAACGTTGTGAAATGAATTATTTAAAAGCGTATATCATTTATAAATACAAGGATTTGTTTAAATTCATTCATTCTTTCATCTGTTCAGTATTTATTTACCTATCACTTTCCAAAGAAAAATCAATCATTGCAAAAAATTATTTTGTTTTTTCAGATACACTCCACTCATCTGAGAGATTGTATAGAATTCAAATTGTTATCGTTCCAGTTTACTTGCTCTCCATTTTCATGTTAATGTCATGATATGTTTAGCGAATAAATAATATAATTAAAAAAAACATTGAAAAATTATATGGTATTTATCTTCAAATAATGAAGGCCTCATTTGTTATCAAGCCGTCTGAACTTAACAAAGTAACAGTCGCTTGTATTTATATATAATTTTATCCACTAAAACGTTTTTATTATCAATTGCGGTTGATCTGCTCTGGAGGACTTACCACTGAGCTCCGATGACGTCCAAAGAAATATTTTTAACTTTTTAAAACAAAGCATAACCGAGACCCACTTATTTGAATAATAGATATTTTCATCAGTAATACGACTATCCCGGATAGTTTATAAAGCCTTCGTGTAAACGTTGTGAAAAGTTATCAAAGAACAACAATCTTTCGGAGTATAGGGTGTTTGCGTCAATTTCAATAACCTTGCATTTGATCCGAACTGGCTTCCAACAAATTTCCTGAAAAATAATGATAAGTCATTGCATAAGGTGATTTATTTTGTCCTAGATGAAGTAGCTTAAGTTAAAGAATAAATTGTGCGAAATAGTTGATATTCCTTGGAAACAAATCATGCTCCAGGGTCTTCCAGAAATCAGTTGAAATAATGGTGGATTCGGGGCAAATCAGATTTCAGGATATGTATTCAGTAAAAGATTCACCGAAGTATATTTTGATGCAGAAAATTAATTATAAGTTGTCGGACTTTTTTGCACGTTGCCTGTTTATTTTACTTTTTGAACATTAAAGTTGCAAAGCTACAAGGTCATTTTTGAAAATCATTTTTACGTCCAGACTTTTCTCATGTCGTTCCTTGTCATGTCTATTTTCTAAAAATCACAACAGTTCATACTTTATTCCAGGAAAACTAAAGATTTTTACAAAGATGTATTATTTTTCTATAAGAATGGTTACCATTCTTATTATTTGGGAGAATTTAAACATTTTTCACTCATTTTTGCACTTTGAATCATTCAAACCTTCACCAATTTATAACATGTTGTGAATCTTTTGGGAGATATTGTATTTGATAATGTAAGGAATAGATTGGTAGGTCAATTATACATGTTGCTTGTAATTTTATCACCCCCTATAGATCAGACTCTGCCTTTAATGAAGGTATTGAAATGAATTATATTTCCCCTCCCAAAATAGTTTTTTCTTTACAAA